GAGAGAGAGAGAGAGAGAGAGAGAGAGAGAGAGAGAGAGAGAGAGAGAGAGAGAGAGAGAGAGGAAGAGAGGAATTCGACATATCGACATCTATTACACGCAGTTATGGAACCGGATAGAGTGGAAGACGAGGAGAAGACAGCGAGGGTAGCCGCGATTCGCCGATTGGAGCGTCTGTCAGCGCATCTGAGGGATGAAGGTGAGGGAGGGGTAGGAGGCGACGACGAGGTGGGCAGCCAAGCTGAAGCTCGCGGTGAGGATGGCTATGGCGGCGCCGGCGATGGCGACGACTCGGAGAGACGAATGGGAGTGGGAACCATTGCTAGATCGATTTGCGTTTCTCGTAAGCAGAAGAAGAAGATTTTGTCAAATATTAAGCCCCTTGCTTCTTATTTGGCGGGAGATTACAGTCTGGACAGACAGCGCGTCTACGACTTTTTTCGTAAGAATCCATCGTTGATTACCCCCGCAGAGATTTCCAAGAAAGATCACAGAGATCTGGTGCTTAGACAGATGCTCGGGTTGGTGAAGGAGGCAAACATTAGGCCCTTGCAGTATCTGCTCGAAAATCCCGCCAAGTATTTTGCGGTGGGAGAAGGCTTCGGCGTCATCGACCTGTCCTTGGCAATCAAGATGGGGGTGCAGTTCAGGTCAGTGTTTTTTTTTTTTTTTTTTTTTTTTGCAGGTCAGTGTTTTTATTACTAGTATTGTTATTATTACAGTAAGTTCAGGTCAGTTCATCATATAATAGTTTTACGTAATATATATTTTTTTTCATGCAGTAATATTCAAGACCACCCGTCCATCTTTGAGCTCAGCCCCGTCATGCATCTGGCGCTTGTGTGTGTTGTCATCTTCGCTATACATGAAAGGATCGTGTGTGTGTGTGTGTGTGTGTGTGTGTGTGTGTGTGTGTGTGCGCGCGGGTTGTCATATTCGCTTTACACTAAAAAAACACGCATTGTTTCGTCGGACTTTCACTGTGTTTGTGTGTGTGTGTGTGTGTGTGTGTGTGTGCGCGCATGCATGCCAGTCGCCTCTCTCTCTCTCTCTCTCTCTCTCTCTCTCTCTCTCTCTCTCTCTCTCTCTCTCTCTCTCTGTGTGTCTGTGCGTGTGTGTCTCTGTGTGTCTCCGTGTGCGTGCATGCGTGCGGCTGTGCACATCTGTTTGCGCGTGTGCATTGGGGGCTGTCCATGGTTGTTTGCGCGTGTGCATTGGGGGCTGCCTACGGTTGTTTGCGCGTGTGCATGGGGGGCTGTCTGCACGTGGCTGTTTGCGCGTGTGCATTGGGGACTGTGTGCGTGTGGCTGTTTGCGCGTGTGGGTTGGTGCGGTTGTCTTCGTCTGTTTGCACGTCTGATGGGTGCGACTGTCTGCGGCTGGTTGCGCGTGTATGGGTGGGTGCGGCTGTCTGCGGCTGGTTGCGCGTGTGCATGGGTGCAGATGTTTGCGGCTGGTTGCGCTTGTGCATGGGTGCGGATGTTTCCGACTGGTTGCGCGTGTGCATGGGTGCGGATGTTTGCGGCGGGTTGCGCTTGTGCATGGATGCGCCTGTGTGGCACGTGTACAGAATTGCGCGCATCGCCCGCTTGTCCACGAGTTGCCCTTCGCATCCGGCGCTCCAGAGCGCTCACCCTTCTTTTTTTTTTTTTTTTTGTAGTATATCGAAAGGAACAGATAGATAGGTAATACTCACAAAAAATTGGACCATTTCTCGATTTATGCGTGCCATCCTTGCGCAGGGGCCATGCTAATCTTCTCTGTATCGTTCCAATTTTAACGGATGTCCCGAAGGACACCCTTTTTTTTATGCTTTGCTTTTCAGGGAAACTTTTTTTTTTTTTTTTTTTTTTTTTTTKYTTTCSCCSCCTTTCGGTGATATACTGTTTGTGACGATATATGATATATATATGCATATTTTGTATGTAAGACAACTCCCCTCATTCGATTACCAACATCAAAAGAGAGGCCGGGGGCGAGGGCCCAGTACGGTAGCAAAGAGGGTTGGATTCAACAGTCTGAATCTGGACGTGTTCTATGCAGAGATGGAGAAAAGCAGATCAGTCCCCATTTTCTGCACCTCTCCACGAACATGTCCAGGTACATGGCCTTTAGTCCAATCCTCTTTGCTAGTGGGACTAGGCCCCCCGGGAATCCACATTTCGGGGAATTTTTTTTTTTTTTTTTTCACGAAATTGTCCGTCCGGACATCCGTTAGTTTGCAAAAACAAAGGGAGGGGGAAAAAAGTAAAACTTGGAATGACAATCCCCCCGGGGCTACAGTCTTCCCCCGAATACAACGTACGGTCATTATAGCTGAATTTGGGGTATCTTTCAGTCTAAAATTCTCTAAATACAGCTATAATGACCGTACGTTGTATTCAGGGGAAGAAGGTAGGTCCCACTTACACGAATTAAGCGGTATTGACCCTAGATAGCAAAGTCAAGGCCCAGAATCTCTTAATCCGTGCAAGTGGGACCTTGCCCCCGGTCTCTGGCTCCCTCTGGCTGAATTGTCCACCCCTCTGGCCGAATTGTACACCGATGTAAGGGCCTCGCCACACCACTGTCGAAAGGAAAAGAGAACCAATGCATCTGGCCCAGAAAGTGGTAAGATGTATCCCTTCCTATTCATAGTAACGGATGCATCTTGCCCTCCTTCGTGGGAAGATGCATTAGATGCATTTGTTCGTTTTTCGTTTGGACGGTGGTTTGGGGAGGCCCTGACTGTTGATGAGCGGACCGGAGTTCGAATACTGTTTGGAAAAATAGAACGAAAAGAAACGAACTTCTGCGGCCGGTCAGTTCGCTGACCGTACCTGGAAGGCCATCCTGTCCAAATTCATAAAAGGAAAATTTCAAAATGGCCCTCAAATTTCAGTTTATTTTCGGTTTGCCCCTCTCATGGTGGACTTACCCTGATTTGCCCTTCGGACAACTATTCCTGGCGGCATTTGGGCCTGAAATATGTTCAATATGCCCCTACCGGTACCCCCGCGCCAACAAGAATTTTCTACAGCACAATAATTTTCTACGGCACATGAATTTTCCATATGCCCCTACAAAGATTTTCCATATGCCCCTAGCCGTACCGCGCATCTTGTCAGTATACCCCTCGCGGGCGTTTACACTTGTATACGTCCATATGCGTGTATACGTGTATGAGGGAGCACGTGTCAACATGTATACGTATACGAGGAACGCATATGAGGAACTTCGTCGGCCAGGGCTATAGGGCTAGACCTGAATGCGATGGATATTTCGAATTACGGGGTAGATAACGTCACCGGCGATGGAGGATGCGGAAGAGGAGGGGAAGGAGGAGGTGGAGGAGGCAGGGGAGAAGGAGGACGGGTCAAGCGATGGGGAAGTAGTGAAGGAGGAAGACGGCATGGGAGGAGAGAGAGAAGCCAAGGTGGGAAGGAAGGAGGAGCAGGAGGAGCAGTAGCAGGAGGAGGAGGAGGAGGAGGAGGAGGACAAGGAGGAGAAACGAGCATGCTTCCTATGTTGTATGAAGGGGCCAACGTGTCTGCTGGAACAGGCTGCGGTCTGATGAACGCCATAGCTAAGGCGATGCAGTTGGATGAAGATGGTTCTCACCCATAGCTAAGGCGATGCAGTTGGATGAAGATGGTTCTCACCCATAGCTAAGGCGATGCAGTTGGATGAAGATGGTTCTCATGCCTCCCTTCGTCGTCCTCCTCCTACTCTCTCTCTCTCTCTCGTTCGTTCATCTCTCTCTCTCTTTCTCTCTCTCTCTGGGGAGAGAGAGAGAGAGAGAGAGAGAGAGAGAGAGAGAGAGAGAGAGAGAGAGAGAGAGAGAGAGAGAGAGACGACTCAGGCCCGCCAGGGGAGCCACAAAGGAGTAGTAGTTGAAAATGCCACGGGTTTTTGCATTGTAAAATGCAAGTATATCTGCGTGGTCCATCGGGATCATAATTCTTATTGGCATAGGAAGGATATAACCTTTGTAAGTGCGTCTTACAAATCCATACTTCTTAAGTCGTTCTACAAGCTCCTTGATAGGGGCTCGGCGGATATACTTTTCCTTGCGCTTCGCGCCTAACCCAAGAGACTTGATTTTGTGCCTTCCATTTCAGGGCATGAATTTGGGTACTTAGGAGAGATATCCCATTATGACTTTTTGTGTCTCTCTCTCTCTCTCTCTCTCTCTCTCTCTCTCTCTCTCTCGAGAGAGAGAGAGAGAGAGAGACATGGAAGAAGGGGAGGAACACTGATCTTGGCCAACGAACTCCAAGGACGAATGAACTCCAATGCGGTGGATTGCAGGAGCGAGCGCGACGTGCAGTGCAGCCCTGTTATTTTCGGGGATGGGTGTGTTTGCGCCTTTGTGCTGAAGGGCATCTCAGAAAGATGCATCCTCCGCAGGAGGGCAAAATCAGACAGGCGCCAGGGGAAATGGGATCGGCAGTCCGGTAGGGGCATTCCGGAAAGTTGCCCCCCTCACTGACAGGGGCCTGCACGAAAGATCAGAGGCCCCAGGGGCAAATCAGGGTAAGTCGGCCATCGGAGGGGCAGATGGCAAATAAACAGAAATTTCAGGGGCATTTTGGAATTTTTCCCATTAATAAAAGGACCCACCCAAAAAAAGAAAAAAACTGGTCAAGTAATGGTGATGTGCATTTATTGGTGGAGCCATTGAATCTCATAACCATTGTGATTGGAACTCCAACCTGACCGTTGCCTGGGAGTGCCTTTTCCACTCACTGATTTTTCCCAATCTTCTACAGTTTGGTCAGTGATTCCAAGCGGAATTTTGTCTGGTTTCGCACTTAAACG